ACATGGTGGCGAGTATGTGATGGAGCAAAGTTCTGCCACTCTAACCTCACAGTGGCTGGGAAGCAAAGAGAGAGGAAGAGATTAGGGTCCCAATATCCCCTTCAAAGGCTCACACCCACTGAACTAGGAAGGCTCCAAAACCTCTCAACAGTGCCACCAGCTGGGGGCCAAATCTTCAGCACCTTGGGGGTAACTTTTAAGTCCAAACCGTGGGGCTGGAGAGATGGATCAGTGGTCAGTGGTTAAGAGTACTTGCCTTCTTGGGGCTGGAGAGATGGCTCAGCAGTTAAGAATACTGGCTGTTCTTGCAGAATACCTGAGTTTGAATCCCAGCACCCACATGCCAGCTAACTCCAGTTCCAGGGGATCCAGTGCCCTCTTCTGTCCTTAATGAGCACTGCATGACATGGGTGCACTTATATACATGCAGACAATATACACATAAAATTTAAAAAGAAAAAATTTAAAAATTTAGAAAAAAAGAGTACTTGTACCTTTTCCTGAGGACCTGGTTTTGATTCTTAGCACCCCAGTTTCAGGGGATCCAACACCCTCTTCTGGCCTCTGCAAGCACCAGGCACACATGTGGTACAAGTACTACATGCAGGAAAAGCACTCATACACATAAAATAAAAATAAAAATGAAAAATAAATCTTTAAGATCCAAACTGTAATAACCATAAATGAACAGAACAGGAAAGAATAAGTGGCAGGCCATCTGGAAGGTCTCATGGAGGAGGCATGGCTTGAGCACGAGCCTTGACATGAAGTCACAGGCATACCGCAGGTTTTATTGTTACTCTAGTGAGTCCCCTGGGTTATGTTCAGGGAGGAAAATTCTAGGGGTCACTGCTCTTTTCCCAGAGGCTGAGGGCTAGTGCAGCTATTTTGGTTGGGGGATGAGGTGAAAATGAGAAGTCTTCCTGTTGTAGGAAATAGAAACCCAGCCATAAAGGCTTAAGCAAAGTCAACAAACCCAAACAAGGAGGTATTTAAGGATTCGGGCATTTTGTAGAACCTAGGAGGCAGAGTATACTTGTCATCCCTAGAGGGAGGGCAGTAGGCAGCCTGTGAATGCCCACCAGGACCGGCCCCTGCCTGCTTCTCTCCAAGTGTCCACCGTGGCCTGTAGTCTGGTTTTCATTGCCCTTCTGTACCAGCCCAAAATGCTTCCAGGTATTTCCTTGGATCTAATTTCTCTGTTCTGTAACTCTAAAATATCCAGAAAAGAGAATCTGTTCTTCCTTGAGCCTCACAGCTGTGGTTACAGAGTAAGGGTGTCTATTCTCAGAGAGGTGAATAGTCAAGGGGTAGAGGTCCCACTGGACTGCTCTGGAGAGGTGGGTGATTATAGGTATTGTCAGAACCCAAGCTCTGGTGAGACAGGGCTGATAGTTCTTCCTTTTTATTTTCTCACTCTGCTGCCCTTTAGAGTAACACATTGGCATCCATGTTTATCATTCTTTGGTGCAGTTATTAAACCCATAAATAAAGATTTAAGCTCTGAAGCACTGCCTTGTGGAGGCAAGCTTCATCCTCTCCCAGGCTGCTGGGACAGAGAAACTACTGAGGAGGCCTTGCCCTCCAGCTGGGGAAATGACAGGTTTACCTGCAAGGCAGCCAGACAGGCTGGACTGTGAACCCTAAAGTCCCATCCTAAAGGCCAGGAGAAACACCAGGAGAGTCTCAGCAGCTCTCAACAGGAGAGTGTTTTGACCTAAGCCAGGTTGGCAAATGAGAAGCCTTGAAAAGGGACATTCCCAGGAGTCTTAGAAATGGGCACTTGTAGAAAAGCAGGAATCAAGAAGGGATCTGGAAAAAATCTGAGATTGAAGGAGGAAGCAGAGGGGAAGGGCTCTGGTTCAGCTCAGAGCCCCACAGCAGAGGAAGCAGTGACAGCTGAATCAACAATGTCATCTCTGCCCTGCCCCTCTGCACCATCTGGGGCTCAGAGGCCTCCATTAACATTAACACACAGGGGCTGGAGACAGCTCAGTAGTTAAGGGCACTGACTGCTCTTGCAGAGGACTGGGATTCAGTTCCCAGCTCCTATATGGTGACTTACAACCATCCATATCTCCAGTTCTAGGGCTTTAACGCCCTCTTACTGCCTCTGAGGGCACTGCACTCATGTGGTGCACTTATATACATGCAGGCAAAACGCTCATGCACATAAAACAGGAGAGAGAGAGAGAGAGAGAGAGAGAGAGAGAGAGAGGAGAAAGAAAAAGAATGAACATAGGCAGATGCACTTCAGTTTCTCTCAGAAGCACCAGGGAAACAAGGACATTGAGAGCAAAAATAAAAGCTTAGAAGACAAGGCAGGAAACTTGGAGGCCCTCTCAATCTTGCCTCATGTTTGAAAAGCACAGCTGGACCAATGGTCTAAAGGACAGTGTCTCCACATCTGCAGCCCCTCCTGGTTCTTTTTTCTTTTCTTTTTCTTTTTTTTTTTTTTTGAACTTTTTCTGATTTATTTATATTTTATGTATGTAAGTGCTTTGCCTGCATGTATATAAGTATACCATGTGCATGTGATGCAGGTGGAGGACAGAAGAAGGCGCTGAGTCCCTAGAACTGGAGTTATAAATAGTTGTTAGCTGCTATGCAGGACCTGGGAACTGAACCCAGGTCCTCTACAGGAGCAACCAGTGCTCTTAACCTCTGAGCCCTCTCTCCAGCCCTCACTCCTGGTTCTTGATGGTGGTGACTGCCCTGGAGGGACAGATATAGAACTTTTTTGTGGGCTTTTAACCCTATTCTTCTCCAATAGAGCCTGCCATGGTCTTTCGCTCAACCAAACAAGAGCATAGCCTGTTTTGGCCAAGGGACAGCCTACAGAGGTATGAGGAGAGGCAATGGGCTATTTTTGATAGGAGTCAGCTGCCAAGTCTATCTCCTTGAGCAGCAGATAATTTAGCTTAATGAATTTGGATAGTTACCTGGATCTACCCACACAGTTCCACTCGCCTTCCCAAATGCTTCCAAAATAGCACTAGCCTTTGTACAAAAGCCAAAAAGAAAAGGGAATTAAGTGACAAGGCCCCAAAGATTTCTGCCTTTTCAGAACCTTTCCTGGGAAACTTTAAGCCTAAAAACAAACAAATGAGCAAGCAAACCAACAAAAAGTAAAAGCCAGCTTCCTTCTCTTTCCCATTAGGGATTGTGGCAAAGAAAGATGCGACAATGTGAGGCAGAAGGACTCAATCTTGATGAAGTGGGCACAACATTAAAAATACAGTTCATACCCTTGTTCCCGTACTGATGTCACTCACACACATAAGCTGAGTTATTCTCATCAGGGTCATCAAAAAGCCACTGTTGTATTACAAAACTCCACAGACAAAATGGTCCCACCCTCTAGTGGCTTCTCACCAGACCCAGTCACACAGCGACACTGGGAAGGAGACAAGTCCCACTGCCATGCATTCACACACATGCCCAGTTGCATATAGTCACACAACACAAACACAGAGAGACCCAGTCTTCCCTACGGTCTTTCTCTCTCTTACACACAATTCCACACTGATATAGTCTCACATAGTCCCACACAGTTGTATACAGTCTCACACAGTACCACAGCCTCATGCAGTCGTATGCAGTCTCACACAGCTGCACAGTCTTACAGTCATACACGCATGTATGCAAGCACACTACACATGCACATAAATGGCATCAGAGTGCCATGCTGCACCCTCATCCCCTGGACCCTGCTCTCCGGGTCCCCACTGAGAACTCCCTCCTCCATAGCCTTTGTAGTGTGCCCTGCACTGCAGCCAGATGTTCCGTGGGCAGACCCCTCTGTGGGCTGACAGGCGGTGATTACTGTTGCCAGCCCCACATTAGGAGGGGATTGAATGGGAGAGCCCCCACCCGCCTCAGGCTCCCTACAATAGTGCCTTTGTGAGGTGTTTCGGTGCCTTTCTTTCCCCTTCCTCACCAACCTACGTCAGGAGCAGCTCTGCCTGAGGAAAGAGAAAGGAAGACAAAAGGAGGATCACAGGGCCTGACTGATCCACCCCATCCTGGGGCGGAAGGAGGGCTGTACTTTGGAGAGCAGGCTGTGTTTTCCACTGCCCCACCCCCAGGATAAATAACAGAAGGCTGCCTGAGGTGAACTCCCCCCACAGACGCCATGGCTTCCACCCACCGGCCAACCTTGTGCCTGTGTGTTAAACATGGGGTTGAAGCCTGGCAGGGAACTCATGCAGAGACCAGCAGATTCCCAAGGACAAGTTCAAAGCCTGGAGCTTCCTCCCCTGTCCTGTCTGCCTTCCCAGACTACCCTCTGCAATGTAGTGCCCAAAGCTAAGATACTAGGCCTGTAAGGGTTAAGTTTCCAGGACTCCAAGGGCAGGCCGGCAGACTTCCAGGATTGGTGTGGATGGGTGGGCAGATGAGGGTGGAACGAAGGAAAGTGGGGCTGTGTTGCGGAACTGGTAAGACCAACATCTGGGATGGTCACTGCCCCTCCTCCCTGCCCAAACCGCAGACGCTGTGGCAGCAGGAAAATCAGAGTTGTTCAGACGAAGGATTGTGCAACCCAGCTCTGGGGAAGAGCCTGGTGCTGGAGGTGGGAATGGTGATTTGAGCCAAGGAACAGAATCCACTTCAGAGGTGAGATTCAAAAGTTCTCCCTAAAAACACTTGTGTGCCACGTGTTGGGTTCCACACTAGATTTCAAAGGCAGTAAGATTCACTTTCTGGTTCAGAATCTACCAAGAACTGGTTGCATTGGAAGCGTTGTCCCTGGGCCTGGGATTTGCTGCCATTGGTTCTCCATGGCTGCTGTGGAGGACAGTGGGCGTGGAGGGAGGCCTTTCGTCCAACCTCCTAAAGTGCCTCACAGTAAAATGTGTAACTAGAGAAGTTCCCACTCCCTCAGCTAAGGGAGCCCAGCCAAATGTGGCTAAGGAGTGGAGATGGGAAGGAGGAAGAAAACAGAGGGCCGTGAGAACTGAGATCTGAGGGCTACCCCAAACAAACACAGGAGAGGAGAGGAGTGGTGGGTTTTCCTTTAATGCAAAATGTTGCAATACAAAGTGATGGTGGAGAAGGCTCCATTCTTCCTGCACTGGAGGAGCGAATGAGGGAGAGGGCAGAGTTGTCTCCTTGAGTTCCTCTCTCCCTTGGGTCATACTGAGGGCAAGAATGCTGTTGCCTGTTTCTGGGCTTGACCCCTTTCAAGGGCCAGAGCTCTTTGTCTGGGTTGTTCTGGGACTAACATTTGTGTACGTGGGCAGGAGAGCAGGAGTGAAGATTCAGGGTTTTTACTGTTTTAGCTCTAAAAGGATTACTCAAGATCTGGAGTTCTAAATGAAACAAAGGGGCTACGAGAATTTGGTTGCTACTGGTTAAAAATAGAGGATCTGAGCCACAACTGGCCTTCATTCAAAGAATGCAGTGCAGGAAATCTACGTGCAGGATATAAATGTATGGGGATATGAGCTTCAAAATGCAAGGCCCAGCTCCTTAAACTTCCTCTTCTTTCTTCCTCATCTCCAGTTTATACACAATCTGGTAGCCATCATCCCAGGCATACAGCTGGCGCTCACGAGGATTATAGCGGAGGCTGGCATGGGCACCATATCGACGGGGAAAATAAGAGAGTGCTGCCCGCTCAGGGGTCAGGGTACCACTGGCATCGAAGGAACACTGGATACGCGCCCGACTGGCAGGGCGGGTGTTATAGACAACGTATAGGGTACCGCAGATGACAAAGGCAGCCTCTGCATTCTCTCTGGGACATGGTGTGTCCCACTGCTGCTCTGTGTCCAGTGTTTGTGGATCTAGCTTGGCTAGACACAAGTGCCTGTCATCTTCCCGAGTGGCATAGACAGCCCAAAGGCCCTCCTCATCAGCTGCCAGATCAATATATGTGTCTACTGTTAGCCCGTAGGGGGGAATTAACCTCTCTGCCGGAAATACTGAGCTGTCCACCACTGTTTTGTTTGCCAGGTGGAATTTGATGAGCTGCAGAGTGTTTTCCAATTCACCACCCCCTCCAGGTCCTCCAGGAGGCCTCCGGGCATAATAAAGGAAACCACCATATACCAGCTGCCCCGTGCCTACCCAGGGGAAGGGCACCCGGACTCGGGAAGCTTTCCGGGCAGCCATGGCAAGGGTGAAGTCACGCAGCCTTGGGAAGACAAAGGCTGTGTCATTCTGTGTCCCATCTAACACGTAGATCTTCTCTGTTGGCCCCAATGGATCCTTAGTCCATAGACCAGCAGGGCCACCGAACCGCTTCAGGATCTTCATCGATCTCACCTGAGAGATTGTGTAGCCACAGTCTGGTGGGGAAGGTGAGAAGCAAGAGAAAAGAGGGGAGAGTCAGATACCTACAGCAGGAATTTCCCCCAGGGTGGGTCATCTGGAGAGTGGGAGGCATTTGCCCTGTGGGTATGTCCACCCATGGAGGCTTGAGAGACAGACGCCACCAGTGAGGCATGGGCCTTCAGGAACATTTTTAATGGACTTGTCATTACAGATTTCCCTGAAACAGATACTGAAAGATGGCCCCACAGTAGCCTGGGACTAGGAGAAAAAAAAAAAAAAGAGAAGCAGAAAATAGAGTTGTGAGGTGGTTAGGGCCTCTTTGAAATCCTGCTTTGAGATCACTTACCTGTCACCATATCATACTTCTCATTTCTCCGGCCCTTGCCTTTGGCTCCAGGCCCTCCAGTCACCTTCTCATCAGTCTCTACACAGGGCAAAGCTGGGTTCTGGGTCTCCAGATAGTCCACTTCCCGTTCAAGACGGTCCACTCTTCCAGAGATGGTGTCTGCCTCGGTTCTGAGTGCCTCCCGTTCCTTCTCTGCCACCTCCAGCAAAGGCAGCATCTTGTTCTTGAAGTCTCGCAGCTCAGCGGCATGCCGACTACTCTGGTCTTGGCACTGGGCCAGTCGTTCCTGATGGGATGGAGGGGAATCAGAAGGGAGGGTGGGCTGTGGGTTACAACTCCCAGGCAGGAAGAGGCCCAACCAGGGGAGTGAGGAATGGGAAAAGGAGCAAACTCAGCTAGACTCCAAGAGCCTCTGCTGCTCCCTTGGCAAAGGAGACCAGTTGTTCAGAGGTGCTTAACCATGCAAGGAGCTGGGCTTGGTTCACCTACACCAGAGTTCCTCAGCCTATGTTGTCTTTGAGTGATCTGGGCCTCCAGGGAATTAAGATACTACAGACTTCAAACTGTTTTAAGGGGGGGTGGGGATGTGCTGGAAAACAGACAAGAAGTTGTAGGCAGATTCTCTGGGAAACACACCAGATACTCAGGTCCTCCTGAGAAGCATCCCCAAAATTCTGACTCTCCTTTCTACTCTGTCCCCTTATTCTATTTAAGTACCAAGGGTAAAACACTGGGTCTCTTTGCTTTGCAGTTGCATTATACCAGGGAATAAGAGGGTTTGTAATGCTGAGGATCCTCATTATTAAAAGGTGTCCTTTAATGCAGGTTCTTACAAAGCCCTTATCTTGTCACTCCCTGAGCCCTGACAAACGAATTGCACCAATAGATGTGGAATCATCCCAGGCTAGGCTAGAAGAGAAACAATCCCTCACCTCTAAGGCAGCTAGTCGGCGTTCCATGTACTCCACAAGGTGGTGCTGCTGTCCCTGAAGGGGTCCCGACCAGGTCAAAAGGAAGAGGAGCAGAGGAGCGGCAGGCCCCATGGCAGCCTGAAGTGGGGCCAGAGAAGGAGTGTGCCTCTTCCCCTCCAGCCTGGCTTAGCTTGGGAGGCGGGGTGGGGGCGGTGCCTTCTCTTTCTGATCTCTTGGTCTCTCACTAGTGTGGAATGCTTTCAGTCTCTTCAAGCCCCCACCTCCTCCTTTCCGCCCTGATTGATCAAACACAGATGGCCCCCTTGCACAGCAGCCAGAAGCCTTAACCACCTCCAGCTTAGGCATGTACGCTCCTCAGGAAGAGAAAACGTTGGAAGTCCGAAAGCCTTCTAGGCAGTCACACTGGGGCAGGAGCAAGCCGAAGGAGGCAGAGACCCCCAGCGAAAACTCAACCAATTCAATTCCTGTTTTAGGAGTGTTCCCGGTGATGAATTAGTAAGACACTGACATCCTTCATTAATCCTTCCCTTTTCCAGCAATAATAGAATGGATTTTCTGCCTTGTTCAGTAAAGCCAGAGCGCAGGAGATGAAGGGGGCGGTGGGGGTAGGGGGTGAAGTCAAATTTCTATAGCTCATTAGCGCCACCTTAAGCTCATGATTAACAGAGAAATCAAGGCTTGGACTTCACCCCACGTGGAAAATCTCCACAAAGCAAGTCAAATGGACTGAATTGGGATTTTAGCCCTAAAATGTAGGCTTCCCTACAGATTAGCAGTTCCTT